GTGTGTGTGTGTGTGTGTGTGTGTGTGTGTGTGTGTGTGTGTGTGTGTGTGTGTGTGTGTGTGTGTGTGTGTGTGTGTGTGTGTGTGTGTGAGCATGCTCACACAACAAATTTATGCTTACCTTGATTCGATGTCTCGTAATGATGTAGTAGGCTTAAAAAAGTTCGATAACTTTTCCGTGGATAACAGTAAGGGGACACGTTCCCACACGGCGACAAACGAATCACTTGGAGTAATAAGTTTTTCCTTTTATAAATTGAATTATCACAACACTTTCGCGCACTTACTCGATTTACTTACGCGATTTATTCACGTACTTAATTTATTTTCAAACTAATCTATCGGTTTCATTATTAGTTAATCACTATCGATTAAGTATTCGGCGGCTGAAAATTACTCGGAGAAAGAAACACTACACATTACACTAATCAACTAAAAGTATTGCTTTCGTATAAATTGTACCTTTCACTTTCACACACGGATTTACTCACGCACTTGATCGATAAAAGTTACGCACTCAAATATTTCCGAACAAATCAATATTATTACTATTAATCACTGTCCGTTACTCATTCGGCAACTTAAAATCACTTTAAAGGAAGAATCGCGTTACAGTACACGTTACTCGACGCGGAGACTCTGCTCGACAGCAACAAACAGATAGGGTTATGTAGATAATCTAATTGTAAGACTCTAGGATTATGTTAGTACTAGCGCTATCGAAAGCGAAAGTGACTGTGCGTGACTGGCGCGCGAGGCGCTACCACGTAATTGGCTGAAGCCTCAGCATTGAAGATGCGGCAGTTACGAAAATATGAAATGTAAAACGTTATACAATGTAATAAATGTTATACGACGTATAACATTGTACGTCGTATAACATTTAAATCTTTGAAGCGTTTTAATCTCGCCTTTGGCTTTTCCTTAAGTTTTTGCAAATACAAGAAATGTTCCATGTAGAAATGTGTTGGTCGCTCTGAAAAGAGCGGATTGTTTTTGGTCGCCCTAAAAAGAGCGGATTAATTTAAAAGTGAAAGATTTTATAGTAGGTGTTCAAAATGACCACCGTTCATTCTAACGCAAGCTCTCATGCGTTTTAATAAATTTGTTTGGACGTTCTCCAGTACATTTTCTTCAATGTCCCAAATAGCGTGGTGCAATTTTTTCATTTAAGTCGTCGACGTTCTCGGGAAGCGTTTTGTAAATAACTTCTTTACAATATCCCCATAAAAAAAAATCTAAAGGATTTAGATCCGGGGATCTAGCGGGCCAACGTATTGGGCCGTATCGTCCCATCCAGCGGCCAGGAAATTGCTCATTTAAATAATTTGTAACAATCCTGGCGTTGTGTGGCCCAGCACCGTCTTGTTGAAAGACAATCTTGTTTCTGTCCAATAACGGCACTTCTAAGAAATCGGGTAGATTTTTTCTTAACATTTCCACGTAGGTTTGCCCAGTTAAGATATCCGCAAGAACAACTGGTCCTAGTATTTTATTTCCCATAATTCCAGCCTACAGATTTATCTTCCAGCGAACCTGAAAACTTCTGAGTCGCGTGGCTCTGGGATTTTCGTCGCTCCACAAGTGCATGTTATGCGAATTAAAAATTCCTTCT